TCGTAATACATTCACGTCCCGTAGTATAAAAGTTTCTATAAGTGAAGCTAGCATAACAGCCGCCAGCGCATCATGCGCGTGGCATGTAGTCATGTTGTTACATGACATGCATCTCATGATTACCATGTTCACACCAGTCACATACCTTCGTCATCCAATCACGTACTGTAATACCAAGTTTGGTATATGTGACGCTAGCGAAACGGCCACGAGCACATCATGAGCGTGGCATGTAAACATGCTGTTACATGACACGCATGTCATGATCTTCATGCTAGGGTGTGTCGATTCTGTTCACCATGCAATCATGCCATACCATAGCAGTTTTGCAACATGCCATGTGAACGAAACCACCGTAAGAGCTGCAGGACCATGAAATGTACAACATGACATTCATAACGTACATGTCATGATTTTCATGTTATGACTAGTAAAATATGTTCTTCATACAATGATGTTATGCCATACCCACCTTGGTGTCGATGCCATTATCGAAACGGCCAGGGAAGCTAAAAGTCTTGGGCAGCTACATAAATAGAGAGATAGATAGATAGATAGATGGACAGACGGACGGACAGACAGGCGGACAGACATACAGGCAGACAGACATATAGATAGATAGATAGATAGATAGATACATAGATAGATAGATAGATAGATAGATAGATAGATAGATAGATAGATAGATACGCTCAAATTCGCCGAAGTTCGCTAGGAAATGTTTCGCATTTAAAACCAGAGTTGCCCGGGGCATCCTCGCTCAATACCTCACTAAAGCATCTGAAAACGTGTCCCACCGCTTTAAAGTGGAATACCTTGCCAGCCTCGGTGTCGGTAAGATTCCAAGCATACATTTGGTCTTTCCTAGAAAATTGAAAAGCCTAGCTACAAATATCGAAAGTTACATTCGTCACTTACACATTACATTCTCAAGGGACACCACAAGGGGCAGTCATTTCTCCACTCCTCTTTATTATAGTTATTATGAACGGACTGTCTGACAAACCCCGGCGCATCCCTAACATCAGCCATGCCATCTACGCAGATGACATCGCCTTCTGATGCCCCTGAGGCTTCTTGTTGGAGTTAGAGCAGGCCCTTCAAACCTCTGTCAATACCACAGAAGCCCAGCTAAAAAACACCATTCTGCGGCTGTCCCCACTAAATCAGAGATGCTACTGTACCAGTGATTTCGCCAAGCCATTCGTAATTGAACGCCCTTATATAAGCTACCCATAGCACAAGCCAAAGACTAGCAACGTATACCCCTCGTGGACTCGATACGCAATCTTGGCCTGCTGGTCGTGGTCAGTGGCTGCCGTGCACGAACAATAACACTCATCACAGCAAAAACGAAAAACATATTCTCTGTCTCATTCAGCGAGTCTCGTGTCAGCAACGAGGTCTTGCAGAGACCAACATTCTGCGCATATGCCAAGTGTTCCTGATGAGCCGCGTCCGTTACGTCACCTCTGCCCACAACTGGAAGACGGGGGAAAAGACAAAACTAAACACATTCTTGCGGAAATGCATTAAGCAAGTCCTTGGTTTGCCGCGAAACATGCGCACTTCCCGTCTTGACCATCTAGGCATGCAAAACGACATCGATGAAGTGATCAAGCCGCAGATGACGGCACGGCCCACGTAAACCACCTTTTATTCTCCAAGGCAGGCCGCCGATTTCCAAGCGAGCGCGGCATATCCCCGGATATCTACCCTGAGCGTGCAGTAACCCTCCCAGAGCTGTCTGCGCTACCTACATTGTAATCCCATTTTTGCAAAATGTTCACCCGCAACACAACAAAGGCAGATGCGTGGCCTGCGCTCACACAATCCTCGACCGTACTGCCGCAAATCGCAACTCTACCGTATTTATCGATTCGGCCCCATTTGGTAACTGCTCCACCTTTGAAGTTCGCACTCGCGGTAGTAGGGGGCGACACAGCTATACGCTCAGCCGCCCCGGTTAGGTTACGAACGAGCGCCATAGCCGAGCAGGCTATGGCGCTCGGCTAATACCGTTTAATAAAGTTCTTGGACTGACTGATATCCACCCCACAAATGCCTTACGGCTGAGAAAGCCAGTAGAGATTGTGTTAATTCAAGACCAGAAGCAGGAGAAAGGATTGACCATGCCTACAGCCTAAGCACTCTAGTAAGGTGGCGTCTGCGGAGATCCTTGGTTGAAACTAGTATACGTTGGCCACAGTCATGGTATATGGTGTGCGCAGTCCCTCAGATTATCAGCTGCTGCTTCTCGCAGATATCGTCAGTTTCGATTGCAAGAAAGTGTAGGTCAGTTTTTTTATGCTTTCGAAGCACTGCTTTCCGCTGGGCTTCCACGCACTAGAAAGACCCCAAATGTCGGCACCATGCAATGAGCGTTACTGTAAAAGTCTAAGAAACATAAGGTTGTATGTTCTTATTTTGCTATCTTGAAGCGTTATACCACCTATCAGTGTGTTCGATGCGGTGAGCCGTAAGAGTAGATCTGGATGCTGCAGTGAAAGCGTGGAAACATTCCGTTTCTATATCAAGGAATGAATTTTTTGACAATTTTTCATTCTGCATCAGCGAAGGCCACCAAGGAATGGAACGAGAGCCTGGAAAGAAGCTCTCTAGCTAATTATGTTGGTGTCTGGTGAAAGGCACTCAGGGGTATATTGATGTTGATAACAGTTTATAGGCTGAACATGATGTTTGGCGCAGACCTTTTCATTTTTTGTGGTGTTTTCTTACTGTGGACAAGTGGTTATGGAGAATCAGGGGGTTTAGGGGAATCTATTTATCATAAACAGATTCTGAAAATTTAGGGGGAGGCGCCGTCCATGTCGTTGCCTAGAAGCAAAAGTTCCGCCTTTGTCGTTTCTGATACGCGTTGTAAGCTGTGCGTCGAACGTGGAATTACGTATGTTTTGCCACCTGCGGTCACTCGACGACCATTACAATCAGAAGACTTCACTTTTCGTACCTTGTATTTAGGTTTGTATTTCAAAGAATTTAGTGTTTCCCACGTCAGATTTACTTTGTCTATTGTGAAGTCTCAACTATGCCATGAAACCGAGATGTAGTACTGTCACTAGAACTAGCGATGTGAACTCCGCCACTTTATACATGATTCACAACACCTGCGCAAAAATAACGCTTATATCGAGGCCTCAGGCATTCACGACAGTGTAGGGGCCTTGGTATTAATGGTCAAACTGATTTTCCAACTAGCGCAACCTTTTCTAGCTGGGGAGCCGACCTTTCAAGAGCCCATAATTTTGCATGACATTATATCATGAATAAAAAGCATCAGAATTTTAAAAGTGGTGTACTCAAGGTATACATAAGCATGAGATGACGCATGCTGCTACATCCGAACCCGCTCTTAGAATTACCAGTGTGTTCACGCCATGAATTTGAGATAGACCAATTCAGATTTGAACTGCCTTATCAACTATTGTGGCTTTGCTTATATTATTCTTCGTGTGGCTCCCCCCGACTTCTTGAATAACACAAGAAGTTTTGTTTTAAAAGAATAAACCGAGCTTCTGTTTGTAAATTGAATTCGCGCTTACCGTCCCGTCGACGTGCACGTCGGCTATTGTCGTGCCCACGCTGTAGCTGCATAGTTTACTGTCTCTTGTCTTGAGGACGGTGTAAGACTTCCATCTTCAACAACATTGTTCAGCAGATATGAAGGTATTCGAGTGATGCGATCACAAATACTAGATGGATGCCATTCAGTAGACGTGCTTCTATGCAGCAGGAGGTCTGATTCTGCCACGAGGTGGGTCCACCACCAAGTCCACTACAAGCGGAAAAACGGTGTTTTAGTGAAGAAGCAATCTTCAGAGTCAGTAAAAACAGTTCTGTATATTGCTTATTCACGGTGAAGAAGACAATAACTACGAATGGTTCAGTATTGACTGACACAACCATCCGAACTACAAAAATTGACGTTTAGAATGCAAAAGCGATGTACTCTGGAATAACGGGCATGTATCCGGCATCCCAATTCCGCTGCAGTTGAGTGCTTGGTGACTAGCATTGAGGAGCGACAGCGTAACAGACTCTTTTCTCAGTGATATGTTTTTTTTAATAACAACTTTTGTAACCCACAGTTTCGGTATCGTCCTTGGAGGTGCGCTGTTCCGTCGTGCGAGAGCCATTTAAACGTGCCATTTTGCCATACATGATGTTATCCGAATAGGGGTCTTCTCAGTGACCAGTCATTTGTGATATGGCACTGTTGTCTTCTACCGAGGTGAGTCATCCTTCCACGTTGGTCGAATGAAATGTTCCCTGGAGGCTGGCCAGCGTAGCTGCCTGCTGCAACTTAAGTGTGGTGCTGCTAGCGCGTTAATATAGGCTCAATCATCGGTGAGGAGGAAGGAGTGGTTGGGGGTATGGGTTCATAGTGAAATAGAAAGACTCCATTCATGACTGAAATAAAGAATGTAGAAAAGTATTACGTCAGGCGTCCAGACGCTCAGCAACACTTCTCTCCAATTTTCTTACATGAAAATGGATCCAGTATTTTCCTGTGCAGTCCTCCCTTTGGGGCTGGTTCTTAGAAAAGTTTTCGAAAAATATATGACATGCCAAGTATTTATCTCTTTTCAATTCTTGCATTTAATTGCATTGAATGCTCTGGAACTCGCCCCTGAATATTTCGAGATATTCGCACGTTCCTAGTCACCAAAGCGTTGAAGCTAAAAACATTCCATGACGTTAGTGAGTGAGTATATCGGTCGCTCTATGTGTTTTCGCAAGTGTCAACTAACGACTATTGACCCGGAGTTAGCGTCCGCTGTGTCGGACTTCTATAATAATGAAGTATTGCCCTCTCTGCTATTGTTCATTTATGTCGAACCGCACGTTGCATAGGCATACGGCTCGACGTAAGTGCGCATAGCAATCTCGGATTGAGACGTGACATCATTATTTATTGTACAGCGAATGCTATGGGCACGTGTTCGAGATAAACACATCATGTCGCTACGAATATGGCCGGTTAAGGTAGTGATGCGACAACTGCAAACATTCAAACCAGCGCAGCACCTTTATGAAACGAACTGAAGATGCTGAGAACCACTGTAAGTGCGTCACTTAGCCCTAAATTTTCGCGCATCACACTATTCAGACAGCGTGCACAAAACAAAGAGAAAGTCCCATCCTCTAGGCGCAGCTTTTATTTCAGAAATATTTTGACGTTCCCCATGTGATCAAGTTCAACACTGGCCGACCTTTACTACAAAGATTGCCCTTGAATGGGTGATAGAGGTGGAGCTGATAATGGCTGATCCTCGTTTAGATATTATCATTATCAGCCTGACTACGCCGACTACAGGGCAAACGCCTCTCACATATTGCGCCAGTCAACCCGCTCATGTGCTTTCCGCTGCCAAAATATCCTTGCGAACTTTTATATTTATCAGCCCACCTAACTTTCTGTCTCCCCTTCTGGCGTTTGACTTCCCTGGGAATCTAGTCAGTTACTCTTGATGACCACTGATTGTCTTGTCTACGAGCTACGTGCCCGGCCCATGTCTATTTCTTTTTGATTTCAACAAAGATGTTCTTAACCACGGTTTGTTCCCTGACACACTCATCTCTCTTCTTGTCGCATAAGGTTACACCTATCATTTTACTTTCCATCGCGCGTTGCGTCATCCTCAAATTAAGCTGAACCCTCCTTGTAAGCCTCCAAGTTTCTGCTCCATAAGAAAATACCGACAAGATGCAGCTGCAGTTATATACCATCCGATTCAGAGTTAGTGGCAGATTGCAATTCATGATTTGGGAATTCTTCACGAATTTGATCCAGCTCATCCTTATATTTCCAGTTATTTCACTCCCATCGTTGGGCTCCATGGTTAATTCCTGTTCTGAGTAGACATATTCATTTACAACTTCCAGCGTCTCTCTGTTAATGCAAAAGTGCTGTTGTCGGCCGAGACTGCTGCAAAGTTCTTCAGTTTTGTTCATATTATTTTCCGTCTCACCATTCTGCTTTTCGTGTACAGTTCAATGATCATGAGCTGTTACTCGTTCCCAGAATTATTCATCAACGCAATGTCATCAGCCAATTGCAGGTTACTAAGGTACTCTACACTAACTCTTATCCTTAACTCTCCCCAATCTAGGGTCTTGAAAACCTCCTGTTAACAGGCGGCGAATGGCATTGGAGAGATCATCTTACTCTCTTTATATCCTTCTTTATTTAGACCCTGTAACATTTATTGAGGGGAACTATGGGGGTGTTGATACACTGCAGATTTCTTCGAGTATGTTTATGTAGGAATCAGTACGTTTCTACGTACTGATTCCATAAGGCCAGCAGTACTGTTGAGGTCTCGACTGAGTCATACGCGTTCTCGTAATCTATGAAAACTGTTTATTGGAGCTGCTTGTATTACGCACGTTTCTCTGTTATTTATTTATTTATTTATTTATTCATTTATGTTCAAGAACTGCGACCCAATTCAGGGCTATTGCAGGAGTGGGGTACATAAATATAACAGCAAATAATAAGAACAATATCACAATTGCTTTACAGAAAAATATCGTCACCTCCCAAGCACAACCGGGTATAGAATGAGGAGAAAATAATAATCTCACTCAAATGACTGTAAAAATATGATATATTCATTTCAGGAATAGAACCTGGTAACTCGTTCCAGTGAACAATGGATCCTGGAAAAAACTGTACTTGAACAGGTTAGTATGTGCGAAAATTGGCTTAATGTTAAGAATGTGACCTGTTATGAATGGGTCAATATCACGCCTAGTACACATTAGTGATTACTTCAAAGAATTCATTGCAGATGAGGGAGAAAAAGCATGGTCATAGTGATGAGAAAAAAAAACTAACAGGTTTTCTTTGTAAGGATTCGATTTTACCTACATCACCCACTTTGTATAGATTCGATTCGCATGAAGCGTACTCTAATATAGGACAAATCAGTGTTTTGTACATTAGCAATTTAGTAGATTTTGGAGTTTTAGCTAACGTACGTCTTAAGTAACCTAACTTTTAGTGCTTTAGATGTAGTGTAATCTATGTGGTGTGACCGTTGTAAGTTGTAAATGAACCACGGCATTTGTATATCTGTTCACGGGAAACTGCGATGTTGTTGAAAGAGTATTAATGGTGCGATGAAACATGGCTGTTCGTGAATGACAAAACTGAGGTTTTGGGAAAGTTTATGCGCATCTGCGAATCCAAGCACCATCAACAAAAATGTGAGAAGGAATTCTAAAGTATGATGTGATCATAAGGAGAAGTGATTACCTGATAAAGTACACAGTCATCGGCGCCCCACCGCCGTGGTCTAGTGGCTAAGGTACTCGGCTGCTGACCCGCAGGTCGCGGGCTCGAATCCCGGCTGCGACTACTGCATTTCCAATGGAGGCGGAAATGCTGTAGGCCTGTATGCTCAGATTTGGGTGCACGTTAAAGAACCCCAGGTAGTCGAAATTTCCGGAGCCCTCCACTACGGCGTCTCTCATAATCATATGGTGGTTTTGAGACGTTAAACCCCACAAATCAATCAGTCAATCACACAGTCATCGGCGTGCACAGATGAACTTGGGACCTAATATTGCTGAGAAGATCATTTATAAAAATAAAAATAACAGAGGACCCAACACAGAGACCTGTGAGGCACCAGATGTAACTTCAATGGCTGAGGATGGCTTGAAATTAGGTGAGACGAATTGAGAGCGTGAGTGTAAAACGCTTCCTATGCAGTCGACCCATTGCGGAATATTTAAAATTGCCTTTAGTTTACTTGGAAGCTTGCTGTGAATAACGGTGTCGAACGCCTTTGAAAATGTATAAATAAGGCATCAGTCTGATAATCAATATGTAAAGTGCTCATAATATCATGTGAACGTTTCACCAGCTGCGTAATTGTGCTGAAACTGCGACGAAATCCATGCTGTATGCTGGTTAAAAGGTTTTTTTTTGCTTCAAGAGACTCAGGTGTGTGTTTCTGAAAGATGTGTTCGAGCAAGTTTCTGAAATCGGAAGGGAGTGATATGGGTAAATAATTTGTGAGGAGCTGTCTGTTTTCTGACTTATGTAGTGAAGTGAAGAGTGTCTTCAGCGGCATTGCTCTGCGCCTCAGCGGCATCACCATCGGCATGAGCTTGTTGTTGCCGCGCTTGACCAAACGCTGCTGGTCGCCTCTCATTCTGCGTTCTTCTTTTTCTATATACCTTTAATGGTACGAATATGGTCTATAGGGGAGTATCCTGTACGAAATCCTGCTTGGTACTTTCGTTGATTGAACTCTAATATCACCTTATTGCTATCAGCTATTATTCCTGTATATAGTTTGTAGAGAAGAAACAATAAACTGATAGGTCTGTAAGTTTTCAATACTTTGACGCTTTCTTTCTTATGGATTGAAATTGATTCTTCCAAGAATCTGGTGCCGTTCTCGTCAAGAGCTACTTCGTATATAAGGTGGCCAGTTTTTCTAACACAATTTCTCCGCCATCTTTCAGCAGGTATATTGTTACCTCACCCTCACCAGCGGCTTTGTCTCTTTGAATTCCTTTTCAGGCTTTCCTTACTTCCTCTGTCATTACTCATAGAATGTCGACTACCTGACCACCGAGTGTTTATATTCAATAGGAGGGCATGTATAACACGACCTTCATTACAGTACGGCTGAGAGGACGTGCAGGTCATTAGCTGCTGCACAAGCAATTATTGTTCATTTGTCGCGCGTACGTTCAAAGACCGTAAACACCTTCTGTAGACCTATTGACAACAACTGGGTGGACGCGCGTATCGTATATTGTCTAATTGCATGTATTTTCTATTTTGTTTGTGATGTGCTTCTTGTCGAACGTATTTGCATTCAGTTTTATCAGTCTAACATCATATCATTATGTATTGTAATTGTTATTGTATTGATGTTGTTTCGTTTGCTTTCCTTTTGTGTTTTATGTACCCCACTCCCCTCTGTAACGCTTTGTGCAATTCAGGGTAAAGTGAATGAAATAAAATGAGTTTCATCATGACTATAGATCATTGTTGATGGCATGCAGGAACACACAGCAAGCATTTTTACGTTGTTCCGCAGTGTTTTAGGGTGCCAGAGTGTTCTATTTGTGGATTAGTTATATACACATTAAAAGTAATAAAAACTTGGACCATCTTCTTGAAAGGAAGCCTGATGGAATCAGGAGGCTTCTCCATCAGGCTTCTCCATCAGGAAGCCTGATGAAGAAGCCTTGCGCACGGGTGTCGTTCCGGGTAGAATGTGGTGCTTGCGCCGGTGCTGCGTTGAGTGCTCAAAGATTCGTTTGAAGCGATGGCTAGCGTAGGTCTTCTAGGTGACACGTACCGACATGTTTTAGCGCATACTTTAGGATCGCGTCAGATTTTTGCGCGTGAACCGACGACTAGGCGGTGTAACGAGCACCGGTCATGGCAAGTGTTGCGTGCGAACGAACGAGGTGGCCGCTGTGGGCGCCGCGGTGAGAGTGCGGTAGGTGAGAGAGAGAGAGAGAGAGAGTGACGGCAGCGTGCGTTGCAAAAGCAGCACGACATGAACGCGTAGCAGTGGCGTAACCTATTCGACACCGCACCAACATCTGCAGCACGGGGCCCGCTCGTACGAAGGACCAGCGTTACACAGGCTAGTCAAAAAGCTCGCATCTGAAAGGAGTGGTGAGAAACGGCCTAGTTACGGTACATTTGATTGCCAGCGTTAAAGCGGCGCTGCAACACTCATTAAGCATGGTCAGAAAACGCAGCTGATCGGTAGTAGAGGCTTCCGACAACAGGCAAGCCAAAGAATATAGCGCGGCATGCGGCCTAAAATTCACAATAAATTATTGATTTGTGGGGTTTAACGTCCCAAAACCCCCATATGATTATGAGAGACGCCATAGTGGAGGACTTCGGAAATTTTGACCACCTGGGGTTCTTTAACGTGCACCCAAATCTAAGCACACGGGCCTACAACGTTCCCGCCTCCATCGAAAATGCAGCCACCGCAGCCGAGATTCGATCCCGCGACCTGCGGGTCACAATAAATTATCAAAGTGAGCTAAAAATTGCTTTCTCGTTTCTCGAAAAATCACGGAAAATAAGCCCAGTAAGCTTATCTATCAGTCATTGGCTGATTTGAACATCTCGCACTCGGTTTTTTTAATTAAATGTATGTAGGGAGAGGTTGGTGCCAATGCGTGGCGCCGGCTACTCCTCTTCTCTTGCAAAAAAGTCAACATCGAACATTTTATAGCAAACACAAGGCTCTACTTACGTACATAGCAAAAAACTTACACAATGAGTTCACGTCTTTCAACACTGAGTGATCACACCACACAGAAATGGGTCCGCACTCTATAGAAATCTATCCGCACCACACTGAGTTTGTAAAAGAACACAACTAATTAAGCCAATTTCAGTGTTCAAACAAAAGCGTGAAAGTTCAATAAAATGTTTAAGGTGATCTTGTCGCTTAAAAACTGAACTATTTTCAGAAAAGTTTTCCCACAAGTATCATAGTGAAACCCGAAAATACTGTTTTGAAACATACTGCGGTTAACAGTGAAGTACATTCGTTTTTTGTCTAGTACTTTTGAGCTATTTCTGATTCCTCCGAAAGTGAACGACTGCACGCGCTGCAGTGGCTTGTAGCTTTCTTTTTGGCCATGGGCCCAAGATTTTTGCAATTGATGGAGGTTGCTTATCCAAAGAATTGAGTTTTTGAAAAAGGTTCTTTCGAGGTACGTCAAGATTTTTGCAATGCAGAAGAATGTGCTCCACGTCTTCTTGAGCTTCTTCACATGAGGAGGTAGGACTGCCAGCTTTCCTTATTCTATACAGGAAAGCCTTCGTGTAGGCTGTACCAAGTCGAAGCCTATGGATGACTGTTTCTACCGATTGGCTAACCTTTAACGTAATACTAAATTCTATACCGGGATCACTGCTATACAACAGAGAGTTTAGTGCACCATTTTTGAACCAAGTTTTCTTAGACAGCTGACAGCTTAGCTTATTTATTAGACACCGTGCATCGCTCATCGATAGAGGTAGCAGTGATATATTTTTTTCTTGATGTGCTGCATGTGCAATGTGATCAGCTATGACAATTCGTGTAATTCTACAGTGGCTTGGTACCTACTGGAACATTATGGTGTGGTTTAAGTTTTTTGCTATAGCGTACGTCCTCTGTATTTCATATGCAAGCTCACTAGCTTTGTTGCCCAAGCTGATTCCTTTTAAAGAAACTAATGAGGACTGTGAGTCACTGATAACTACCCATCGAAATAGACCTGGCTGTAAACATATAAAGCGTAAAGCACAGAGTATTGCATAGAGTTCTGCCATTGTGGTTGTTGTGAAATGCGCATAGAGTTCTGCCATTGTGGTTGTTGTGAAATGCGCTCGGTTGTTACAAAGGTCACCGCAAGAGGTGATCACTTGTCCACGCGCGCACGCGATGGCACTAAAAAATCCGCATATCCGAAGAAAAATAATTGCTTTTTATTTGACAATCGCACAACTACGAACGCTAAACCTTGAGCAATATTGGTGAGCACTGCGGATGGGATTGGCCGTTTGGTGCCGTTTGAGGCATTGATAAGGGCGGAGAAACACAAAATTTTATAGACAAACAAACAGACAGACCAAAATTCTTTAGTCGAAGGTCCCCAAAAAGACTATCGTATTTAAAAATGTTTGAGGTCACAAGGCGCAAGTGAAGTCTTTTGTTTGCCCCTTTCATCACTCCCTGCTCAGTTTCTAGCGCTTTCGTCGGGAAGAGAGAGGAGAGAATGTGATTGCAGCGTGTCACAAATCCTTGTAACTCCGCTCGTACTAGATGCATTCTTAAAACTTTCGCTGCGTTCAGTTACTGAGGTAACACGCTTTTCAAGGCAATTATTTACATGGTTACTTCAAAAAGTGTTTCATGGCTTTTTTACGATTCGATGAGCGCTTTCGCTTTAAAATCACTATCTATAAACATAGATTTACTCAATCTTCTTTTAGATTCGATGAGCGCTTTCGCTTCGAAATCACTATCTCTAAACCTAGCTTTACTCAGTGTTACTGTTTCGTCTCTTGCGTCCCTAAGTAAGAGGCTATAATAAAAAATATTCCATGCATACAGCTTCAATAAGCTGCGACTGTTTATAGCGATTGTGCTTCTGCTAGGCTTATCTTCATTGCAATTGCATGTTAGGGTAATATTAGGAGTTAATACGGCTAGCCTAAGTACTTCTCAGTTCATGCAAAATAAAATTTTGAGCCACTTCTGCGCACAAACTTCGTCTTGTAATGGTCAAAAAGACATTTCCGACGACTTGAAATTCAGCCTATGGCGGGAAGATGCAAATTTTAGAAGTAATTTTGACAAAACACATTTTAAATGCAGATGACGTCTCCACCAGCGTGTCATGGAGTACTGATGGCCATGCAGAAACATGGTCATTCGGGAAAACCAAGTTTTTGCGAAACAAAATGTGCAGCAACTTCGCAGACGCCTTCCAAGAAAGCCCTAATGCCTGGCTTCAAGACGTAAGCGAAATCAGTTTCTTCTTTTCGGATGTTTATTATTACATATGGAATAATTGTCATCCTCAAGGGCATTGCTTTCGCGCGTGCATTAGGCTGATTTTACATTGCGTGCTATAACTTGTACGGAAGGCCTGCGATAACAATCCAAATTAGTTTTGACAGCTTTATTACGTGCTGCAACTGGCTGGATATCTTAAATGTTTTACTTGTCATTTTGGGCTATGAGAATGACATCGAAATCAGTCACAAAGAGCCTATGGGACGTTATACAGGAAGTTGTCACAAATCGCAATGTGCAATCAGCGCTGTCTTCTGTGATAATGAACCAACTAGCCTATCCCCCTCTTCAACAACATCTAACTCCGAAGAAAGCCACGGAAAGTATACAAGAATATATTTGTAGTCTTTTACTTGTAAACTAGTGTTAACGTGATCATGATAACAAAACTTGTTTCACTGAACCTCTGGCGTTGGTGTCGGCTTCTTCTTAGTCATCGTTGGTTGGGCGCAAAACCCCATCTAGAACTAGACCGAAAAAATGCAAAAGACGAAAACATCATAAATGGCAAAGATTTCCGTCTACGTGTGAGCCACACTAGATGACTCACTAGATGAATGTCATTAAGTGGAAGGAGTTTCGCAAAGGCGTCTTAAATGGCGAATGAGAAGAGCTGAATCGCACCAGGCATCAAAAGTAGTGAACCGAGCAATTAGGGGAGGGGGTTGAAATATCCACACATTACAAAGCACTTAGACACACTTATGGATCAGCAGCAGCACAACCGTCAACGAAGTGGACAGCCGCGTAGCTGCGCGTAGACAGGTAGTGGGCCCTTCACTGATTATCAAAAGAAAAAAAAAATAATGGCATAGTGGACATTTAATAGGCATTTTATGATACTTTGAAACAGCCAATGTTACGCACATGGTCGTTTGTTTCCTATAGCCCTGCTTGAGGTATGCACGTAGAATCAATGCATGCCAAGAGTAAAAGGAGCACTAAATGCAAATAGTAAGTAGAAGTAGACTGTTGAAATAGCAGGCCAGAAAAACGCCAGGCGTGCGCAGTAGGCACCGCGCAGTCACAAAGAAAGCTAAAAGAGTGGCCTTTCAGAGCCTCTTCTAAACACTCATTGGGTAACGGCTGCAATCACACTAGCTTGATGCCCCCTACGGCATTAATAAGAAAAAAATAGGGGCGAAGCTCCTTAAGGCATGGTTCTGTCCATCCCTTGTATGTATGTAGTCGTACGTAGCCACCGGTTGCACGTACCCGCACTAGAGCGGGTATGTGCCACAGGTGAAGCAAGATGGGAGATGGTGGTACTTGGAGCGTTCACTAGAGGGACGCACGAATGAACGGACAGACAGACTAGCAGACGGAGGGATGAATGGATAGACGCGTGGACTTACGGACGGATGAACCCGCCAACAGACAGACAGACAGATGGATGGACGGACTCACTGACGTACGCATGTACAGATGGAAGGACGCATGCATGGACGCACGGATGGTCACGCAGACGGACGGAAGCAACAACGAATGGACGCACGGAAGCACGCACGGGCTTACGGATGCTTCGCCCCTCTCATCATCATTCACTTCGTGGATATGCTGTGATTTTTTGGGTTGCAGGCCGGTATTCGCTATTGGGTAGTAGTGTGGCACTCGCTTTGCTTTTAATAATTTTTCTGAGATGCGTGGTATTCGGTAAACACTTGCAAGGAATTCTGTGGCAATTGTTCATGCAGTAGCTGACGAGGATGAGGAATTACGCCTGAAGTGGGTATACATGCCACAGTTAACAGGTGAACAAGAGCAACCTTTCAATGGGTCGGAGCATTGGATGACCCGCTCGTTACGCTATTCTCATTGAGAGACGACTGGTTGTTCTACTGCTGCTTTATAAGTCGTATTAACGCGATTGCTTTCCCGACATCAAGCCTTGCTAAGGCAAGCTTGCCAACAATTCCCGATCACCGTTGTGGCTCAGTCGTAGAGTATGGGCTTGCACCCAGCGGTTTCGGGTGGGAGCCTCACTGTGTCGTTAATACTAAGTATTTTTTTTTCTAATTTGTGCGACGTGGTTACGAACACTGGCGGTAGCGGCAGCAGCGGCGCCGCTCAACTACGGCGCGCGCGACCCAAGTATTTTTCATAACACCTTAAGGTGTAAAATTTCGTAGTTGTACCTTTGTGCCAAGGAAGTATTGAAATAGAATCACGTTTTATTTGTACGCGTTGCGATAGCTCATTTCTGATCCCCCGCCTGAAAGCGATCTTTCTGACGTTACTGTTGCCCTGCCCAGCGTTGCTCGCATTTATTGCATGGCCGCCGACACTCACAGCAGCAGACCGAAGGAAGCGGAAACTATAGCAGAAACAACGGCCATTGAACAAACTTGGGCTTGTTTGGTTCAACTGGTCTCTGCTAGAGGACACCACGTATCCAGCCTAACCAAGCGAAAACAGAACTTTTGAACTACTTGCACCACTCCCCGTAATTCCTCCAAGCAGTTATTTTTTACCATCAATCAAACACAAACGGAGAAGCAGCATTTATTACGTGCTGTAATGCACAGAAGGTATTTTTTATTGCGGCTCGTTTGATTACCAGTGATTGCTTGTAGTCGGACTCTCTCACGTCATTGGAATAATTTCCAAAATGTCCCACTCGTCACTCATGTGACATTTACCCTATTATCTCAAATAGTAGAGCACTGCTATTGATATTATTGACGTTTTAGACATTACCAAACAATGATCTTTCGCTTTGCACAGAATGAATTTACGTGAGAGACGTAAATTGTTTTATTGATTTATTTTATTTATTTGATACTATCAGCCCTGTGCTTGGGGCAATTTCAGGGAGAGTGTACGTAATACATATTGTTCACGCAGTAAAGCAGAATTCAATGGCACAGAGGAATAACAGATGAATAATCATCATCGAGAAAAGAAGTAACAAACACTGTCGACTATACCAATTAAAAATGGTGAAACTAATGTTGGCACCAAAAGTTAGCGATTATCAATGCATATAAAACTGTCTGACGCGTCTCTCACTGACATCGTTTTTTGAACTACCAGATCAAGTAAGCTATTCTACATTTCTTATTTGCCTTTAGTGTCCAATGAGGAAGCTTTCACGATCCGTGCTTGAAGGTGAAGCGCAAACGTTCCCAATTTTATGTCATAAACTTGGTCCAGTGCTATCGCCTTTCGATAACGCATCTCAAGCTCTACCACTTGGGTCAAACCATCGGTTCTGTTGCCGTTCACTTTATTCGGTATTTGTATGCACCTAAATGTAGAAGAATTTGTCAGCATAATTAGTAGGTCATCTGACGCATGCTGTATGCGCAGTTGTTAACAGATGACTCGAGTCTTTTAGTTCACTTCCTTCTGTTTACATTTATATGGTAATACTCAAGCCGATGGTTTCGCGATTAATAATCATCTGGTCAAAAAACGACAATGAATGCCGACTGAAATAAAAACTGTTTGGAACACTAAAATGCGGCGTTAGCGCTTCAGCTGTAACCTCGTTTTTTTGTCACTGTTTTAGGCACCTTTTTCATCTTGGTCTGCTTTTCGTCATTTCGCTTTCCAACCATTGCATGATAATAATATGTAAAAAAAATATTCAGCAGATCTCAAGTACTTTGGGAAGCGATGTTATGCGAAGCTTGCGCATGGAAAGTGAAAACCTTGCAATTTTTAATTGAGGAAAATATTACAAAGTGGCGCTAATCATTTGTACACACGCACGCACAGACATACGTTAAGTAGCCGCATATGTTTTATATAACCAGTTTTTTACAGTTGTGCAAAGATGCCAAGACCAACACGGATATCAGCAAAAGAAGTGGTAAGCTGACATGAAATGCTGGTGCTCGCGATTATGGCAGTCCTGCACACTGGTGCATAAATCAAGTTCAGCGGATGGCTCCTAACTACCACTGACGTCAACACGTCATGACGTTTTTTTTTCAATCAATCAAAAATATTTATTTGTTGCAGAGTATATAAACGCATTGGGGTTGGCATACACAGAAAGAGGTCCCATAGCACAAGGCTCAAAGGGGACCTTTTCGTTGTATTATAAGAGTACATATTTGATCTTTCTAACACTGAATAGCCAGCACTGACGAGCACAATTGATGTTTTACGAACATTAGGGCCTACTTGCAAAGTGTTTCCGAGACCTGGCGTGGCTTTTTGGTTGAACGCTTGACTGCTGTGCAGAATGCACCTATCTATCTATCTATCTATCTATCTATCTATCTATCTATCTATCTATCTATCTATCTATCTATCTATCTATCTATCTATCTATCTATCTATCTATCTATCTATCTATCTATCTATCTATCTATCTATCTATCTATCTATCTATCTATCTATCTATCTATCTATCTATCTATCTATCTATCTATCTATCTATCTATCTATCTATCTATCTATCTAGACGGCTACGACATTTTGCTCTCCTGGCCTTTTCGGTGATGGTATCTATAACAAAACTTTATGACATAACATAACTGTATAATGAGCACAGGTGCCTAGTCATAACATGAAAATTATGATATGCATGTCATGCATGTCATGGTTTTCATGTCAAGGTTTTGTTGCGCTTGCGGCGGTTTCATTCCATGACAGATTGCAAAACTGGTATCGTATGACATGCCTGCATGGCGAACATAAGTGGCAGGCCCTAAAGTGGAAATCACGACATTCATGTCATGTAACTCATGACTACAGGCCATACGCTGATGATGCGTTCATGGTCGTTTCGCTAGCTTTGCATATATCAAATTCCGCATTACGGGACGCAAATGAAAGGCGATGGTAAATGACTGGTTCAAACAGGACAATCATGACATGCGTATTATGTAAGCAGATGACTAAGCACCACGCTCATCATGCGTTAATGGACGTTTCGCTAGCTTCACATATACCAAATTCAGTGTTCCGTGACGTGAATGGACGACGAAGGCAAATGACACGTTCAAACATGATAATTATGATACGCATGTTGGGCAAAACATGACTACATGCTACGCTCATAGCGCTCGCGAGGCCGTTTCGCCAGCTTCACATACACGAAGAATTATGTGACATGATTGAGTGACGAGTAAAAGGACACTTCATAGCATGACAACCATGACATGCGTCTCATGTAAAACGTATACATGCTACGCTCATGTTTTGCTCGCGGCCGTTTCGCTTCCCATATACCAAATTTGGTGTTACGTGACGTGAATGTACGAGGAACACAACTGCCATGCGCAAACATAATAGTCTTTGCATGGAAGTCATGTACGGCATAATTTACAATTCTATTACTGCTGGGGCTGGTATTTCATACGTTTGTGGCGCCGTAGTTACGTGACTATAAACAACGTGCTTGCATCTTATCAAGATACTTGAGTGCGTATAACATTTCCACCAGTGTTTGCTGTGTACTGCTTCTATGCATGTCATAAAGTTGTGACGATTTTGACAATGGCAATGACAATGACTTTATTTCCGCATCAATACAGTGAATGATACGAAGGGGCGGGCAGAAAAAGCTGTTCTTAAGACAGCTTAACGAAGCCGCTGGCCCCCTCATTGGTGATTAACAGCAGAGATGCAGCAACAATAAGCCAACACATATCAGCAATATATTACGCAAGACATATATAGAAAAATGAACAGTAATGTTTACTTTACAATATTGGAATCCTTCACAGAGACGAAAACTGCAATATAATAACGTTACTCATTGTAGACATACACGTGTGCAAGATTAAGAAGTGAGAGGCATTAGAAGAAATTTTTTTTCAAGAATATCTGTCTTGAATTCAAGATACCTGTGTATGGCTCTAAAATATATGTTCTTAATCTGTTTATTAATCTTTATGTTGAATAATCTTCCTAAAGTGACATATCAACCTTTTTCATTTGTGCTTTGCCTATGATCCATTCCCACTCTACGTGGGATCTGCTGACTTCATATGCGAAGCATTTCTTAGCGAACTTCAGCAACTTTGAGCGTACCTATCTATCTATCTATCTATCTATCTATCTATCTATCTATCTATCTATCTATCTATCTATCTATCTATCTATCTATCTATCTATCTATCTATCTATCTATCTATCTATCTATCTATCTATCTATCTATCTATCTATCTAGCCACCTACGAGTTTTAGCTCTCCAGGCCATTTCGATAATGGTATCGATACCAAACATGGTATGGCCTAACTTGACTGTATGAAGAACATATTTGACTAGTCATGATATGAAAATCAAGACATGTCTATCATGAAATTCATGATTTACATTTCATGGTCCTGTAGCTCTTTTGGTGGTTTCGTTCACATGGCATGTTGCTAAGACGGTATGGTATGACATGATTGGATGGGGAACACAAGCGGCAGACCCTAACTTGAAAATCATGACATGCGTGTCATCTAACAACATGACTACAATCCACGCCCATGATGCGCTCGCGGCCGTTTGGCTAGCTTCACTTATATCTAATTTGGTATTACGGGACGTGAATGCATGACGAAGGTGTGATACTGGTGCACACATGATAAACAAGAGATGCGTGTCATGTAACAACATGACTACATATTACGCTCATGATGCGCTCGCGGCCGTTTCGCTAGCTTCAGATGTACCAAACTCGGTATTACGGGACGCGAACGAACGATATAGGTATGTGACACATCCAAACATGATAATCATGACATGCGTGTCATGTAACAACATGACTACTTGCCACACTCACGATGCGCTTTCGGCCATTTCGCTAACTTCGCTTATGCCAAATTTGGTATGACGTGACGTCAATGGAGGACGAAGGTGTGCAACTGTTGCAAACATCATAATCATGAGATTCGTGTCATGTGAGAACATGACTACATGCCTAAGGCGTCAATACCTTTCGACATGACGCGGTGCGCGTGCTCGCTGTCGTTAATTTTGTCGCGTCACGCAGGTGTTGCCACGCCTGGCACCGGTCCTGCTATATACTCGAAGGCACGCGCTGCCCTGCGTTGTTTTGACGCATGCGCGTGTCAGCGCGTCCGGCGTCCCTCCGTCACAAAATTGGGAAACGCGCTGTTATCTGGGTAACGCATCGGCGCGAATGGCGCGCCAGTGACAGTCGGGCCGCACCGACGGACGCTGGTCGCGCCTCGCGTCAGACTATAAAGTGCTCGCGTTTTCCTTACGTAGCGTCGCTGTGCCAAGCGTGAACGCATGGCAACGCAACGTTGGAGTATATTGGGCCCTCATGATGCAGTTGCGGCCGTTTTGCTAGCTCCACGTATAGCAAATTTGGTGTTACGTGACTTGAATGAATGAGGAAATTATATGACTGGTGCAAACATGATAATATTGACAAGCGTGTCATGCAAAACATGACAACATACCACGCTCATAGCGTGCTAGCTGCCGTTTCGCTAGCTCCGCATATACTAAGTTTGGTATCACGTGACGTGAATAGATTACGAAGGTAAACGACACATCCAAACATGATAATCATGAGATAGAAGCCATGTACGGCATGATTTACTTCCGCCTCGTAACGTTGTGTTAACTTAAAGTGACATATTAACCTTTCTTATTCGTGCTTCGCATATCATCGATTCCCACTGTAAGTGGGATCTGCCAATTTTTTATGTTAGGGTCTGTCGCTTGTGTTCGCCATGCAATCATGTCATACCATACAAGTTTTGCAACATGCCATCTGATTGAAACCATCGCAAGAGCTGCAGGACCATGAAATGTAATTCATGACATTTATGACATACATATCAAGATTTTAATGTTATGACTAACAGATATGTTCTGCATAAAGTCACGTTATGCCACTCCGAATTTGGTATTGATATATTTATCGAAACCGCCAGGAGGATTAAAATTTGTAGGCGGCTAGATAGATAGATAGATAGATAGATAGATAGATAGATAGATAGATAGAATAGATAGATAGATAGATAGATAGATAGATAGATAGATAGATAGATAGATAGATAGATAGATAGATTGATAGATACGCTCAAAGTCGCCGAAGTTCACTAAGAAATGCTTCGCATTTGAAATGAGGCGTAGAAAGCACCCGAGGAGCAGTACCCCTACTTCCGAACTTTGTACCGAGGGCTTCGTTCCCGCAGACTTGATGTTTTGTGTAGCATTCGAGGGCTTATTTGTGAGATTCCACTTTATGTGAAGATTGCATGTTCCTCGTGACCCTCTGCCAAAGAAGATTGTTTCACCCATGCCACCCGTGCTGCAAGCGCCGCTGACTAACATTCCCAAATACTAAGCACATAGTAGGGGATGAAGTGCCTTACTCTAGTGTAGCTTAAATGCTAGAGCACAGGACACGTCATACGAAGGTTTTGAGCTTAGATCCCACTAATAGAAAGGGTGATACTTTGTCCACTTTACTTCTCTCAATTTAAGTCAGAGTCACAGTTAGTGGACTGGAAATATTGTGCCCTATACTGCCCTTAGTTTTGTTGGTTGGTTCTATACTTAAAAAAAGTTAAAAGAACATCATTGCACCGTTTTTCTTTATGGCCAGTGACTTGTCCTCCTCATTATTGTAGAAATAAAAGAATTTGGCCTCGTATCTGCATGTTTCACTGAAATTTTTGTCGAAAGACGATAGTATGACGTCTGGATAGTGTGAACAAAACGTTTATTTTATGTCCTGCACGAGAAAATCTGTGAATTGTATTCTGGAGGCGCTCCATTGGTGAGTATCGATTCATTCAGCGAATGAGAACGAGCGCATTGAGGCACGTTAGAGACGAGCGCTATCTGGCAGTTATCTTCAAAAACGGAAAAAGGCGTGAGCGCCTGTCGCGGAGGCGATAAGGTGTATAGAACGCAAAGCGACAGGGCAGGTACCACCACCGTGTCGTCTTTGCAAAGCGTTGCAAACACTTGCCTCTTGGAGCATCGCGCTGCTTTGTCAGCGCAGCGTGGTGAACGCTACGGTCCTTATTATTACTTGTGTATGCCTTCTCTAGTATAAACAAGCATTTAATTATTGACGTGTTGTTATGGCGCCTCAGATGTGCGCCAATATTGCTTTTTGATTGACAATCCCACAAGTATGAACGCTGGAACTTGAGCAGTATTGGTGAGCGCTGCAGATGGGATGGGCCGTTTGGGGTATCGTTATGGTGACCAAACAGACAAATGTTCATACAGTCAGACCAAAATTTGTGTTTCGAGGTACCCCGAAAGAGACTAGCGTCTTTAAAACCATTTTCAGAGAAGTCACAGCGCTCCTATTCACAGCCACACGGGGAAATGAAGGTGTCGCTGAGGCCCCTTGCCTCAGCACTATGGTGATGGGAAAATAAACAACGACGTACCGCTCGAAAAAGCAGACGGTTGTATACTACATTTCTTTGGACAAGATGACGTAGAGAAAAAGGTGAGTGGTACCTATGCAAATTTAGCCTATAGCATTGCGTTTGCTGTGTAAAAGAAGCTCACGTCATCTCGTGCTGCAATTTTGTCACAAAGTGACATGTTACAAAAGCTACTATTTGGAAGTTGCATATTTCGCGATATTGGTAAAAAAAACTGATTCCTTACTGTTCCTGCTGGAGTTTAATGTATTGTTTCAATCCTTCAATATTTCTGTGTAAATCACTTGATGTGTAGGATTTGCAACTTCTTTCTACAATTTTGTTGTATCATAATGATTTGTTCTTCTTTTCACGGTTCCATTTTCAAGTCTACTCACGCTGAACAGGACCGAGAACACAAGTAGTCTTAAGTCTGATTCTTCCAGCCTTCACAACTTTTTAATTCATACTGATAAAAAATAAATATGGAAACATAAAGCCGATAACTGCAGTTTATCTAGCCCGACATGACACTATGCTCATCACAGTCACTTTTCTTTGTTGGCTATACTCATACAAACATGTAAATGGGGAATACCTTATGCACTTTAATGAAATTCACAGAGCATCTTTCCATGCTTTCTCGTTACAGTGCTGTAAATTGTGTCGTGTTAACCAGTTTCAATAAAATAAAGCTGAAATAGAACTCTTATTGTTTTGCAGTCGATAGGCACAACGCCAAGTATTTTTGGAGTTCCTTAGTATGAATACTTCATTTTCTGCCTGTTAAGAGTCACGTATAGTACCACTTCCTTCTTCGTGGCTACGGATGGCGCTGACTGATGCTTCCACGTTTAATTCACACATATACCCAATAAATGAGCTGGGGGAAAGCCGCCGATGTAGCTCAGTTGGTGGAGCATGGGACGCGTTGTTGGTAGGTCGCAAGTTCGATCCCTGCCCATGGCAAGCTGTCTTTTCATCCAATTTCGTTTCTTCACATTTACATTACAGTTCAGTCTACTGACCTCTATACTTTCCTTGGCATTATTGTCTGTTAGATCTCATTTTTTTGTGTGTCTAACCATGAAAAAGAGCCGTTAAGTATACACTTAATTTTTCAATAATTGCCACATACCATTATATAAAAAATTGGTGTCAGATTAGGTTTCACACGACAGCTCAACAGCAGCTACCGTCGAAGAATGCGTAAATGAAAGGTCACGCACTTAGCGGTATCTCATTCTCATCTGAAAAGTTTAGGTAGGTGCCCATTATATGCGTAATAAGATCTTGGACGATTCATGTTCCCAAAGAGAGATCATTTTTGAAATCTCCACCAGAGAACTTTCTAGGGGACGGAACCACTAAAACGATACAGCGCCAACCAGAGTCGGGTGGTAAAATTTGCTTCAAATAACTAACCACACATGGCAGAGGATTATTACAATTATAGATGACGGGATGACACATCAACATTGCGCCTAAATCAAGCACACTGGTGTCGAGGCCCGTGAAATACGTGGCGTTATTTCTAGGCTTCCTACTTGATAAAACAGCATTGCCAAACTCAATAAACAAGTAGTAGTTCACATCAACCTGAAAGAAATGCAGCTTTCCTGGCGACGCTCGACGTCTGGAACGGGTAAGCACGGGCCGCCTTCGATTTACAACGCCACCTATCATGCGCCAACAGCCAATTTTGGTGGCGTGCACATATGCTGTCACCTCCATTTTCATCCCCAGTTCTCGAGCAGATCTAGAAGAATGATAAAAACAGGGTTCTAGGTGGATGTGCACCCATATTTTCGCGTGGAGAACAAGTTCTCTACATCTGTGCACCGCCAGTGGTCGGGGCTTTTACGGAAAAGAAACCTACACCGCAGCGCTCCTCCTGCGCACTCAGTGTTCCTTTAGTCTGTAGCGCTGCGTTAATGATGCGACCCGATAGAGGTAGTATTTTTTTTATTTAAACAGACTGCAGGCTTTTCACGGCCCATGCGGGATTGGAGACAAGAAGATACATACCAAGCATTGAAAGAAAAAATATACCGGAAGAACAAGAAAGAAGATATAATGTCAAACAGCTCATTATTCAAAATGGACACACTGTATTACGTTCATAAATTATCGAATAGTGTTACAGCACACAATATTGTTCTCTGGTCTATTCCAATGGTAGATAGCTGACAGAAAAAAGGAATTTTTGTGAGCGTTAACACGACTGAAAGGTTGGTGGACAGATTTGGAATTATTCAGTCGCGATGAGTGTTTGGGCGGGTCTAGCAGGTAATGAGATCGCGATATGCAGAATTGACCACTGATATAATTGGTAAAGAAATTTTGGTCGCGAGGTAATTCTGCGTTGCAAAAGAGGTTTTAAGTTTGCCCTTGCGAGTAAGCCTGCAGAACTGGATTGCCTCGGGAAGTCAGAATATACAAATCTAACTGCCTAACTAAATCTAACTACAAATCTAATTACGTATGATAAAGATACGCATTTATGTGCGACTGCGTAGCAGAAAAGTAAAATTATAGCAGGCGTCATATTCACTAATATGCATACCAAGAGGATAATTTTATACTTCAAATCTATTACAAAAGACTCCACTGCAATTCTTCCCTATCCTCATCATCTTCCACCACCGTAAAAACAGACCCATAGGTGCACAGATCGCTTGAGAATCACGGGGTGGATTCTTCGTTACTGCGATGATTATGATTATTCATCACGTAGTAGACACCTCGGCATTGTCCTTGCAGTAATTTTAAGAGAGCTTGCAGCAGCCTTTATGAACACCCATTCACAATCTTAGGCTCTGCGTATTTCCCAGACTTGGCGCCTTCATAGCGAAAGCTGTTATGAGAACACTACATCTGCTGATTTTGCGGCGCAGTTGCCCAGCGTCGGCGTCCGTCACCGCTATTGCGCACTATAAAAAATATCAAGCGTCATGCGGGGCTACAACTCTGACCATTTGCGCGGAACTGGAGTGTTTGATCGCAGAGCTACGTTTCTGATAGGAGCTGTGTCAGAAAAAGGACTCTATGAAGTTCGTGTCCGACAAGAAATCAAGTCAACAAATCATGTTGAAGAATAAACTGAAAATTGGCCATGAATCTGCATGTTACACTGCAAATGTCGTCGAAAGACGATAGTCTTGAGTCTGGAGAGAGTGAGCTAAATGTTTATTCGATGTTCTGTGCAATAAAATTGCTGAATGGTATTCTGGAGGCGCCGCGTTAGAGTGCCTCGATCGTGTAGCGGAGACCAACGAGCGCATCGAGGCACGTTAGACACATGCGCCATCTGGCAGTTATCTTCGAAAACGAAGGCGTGTGCGCCCGCGGAGAAAGATGCGCACCTATCGCGCAGGTGATATGGTGTAGAACGCAAAATGACGGGCAGGTGACACCACCGTGTCACAGTAGCAAAGCGTTGGAAACACTTAACTTGTTAGCATCGCGTTGCACTGTCAGCGCAGCACGATAAACGCTACATTCCTTAGAGTTACTTGTGTGCACCTTTTCTAGTGTAAAGGCACACATACAAAACATCGACGTGCTTTTATGGCGCCTCGTATGTGCGCAATATTTGCTTTTTATTGAACAATCGCATAACCAAGAACGCTGAAACTTGAGCATTTTTGGTGGGCGCTGTGAATGGGGTCAGCCATTTGGTGTCGTTTGAGGAATTGTTAAGGGCGAACAAGCAGGCAATTGTACAGACAGACAGACAGACAGACAGACAGACCAAAATTTTGCTGTTAAAGGTCCCCAAGAGAGACTATCGTCTTGAAAAAATGTCCGGCCTGCACGGAAGGCGCAGCACAGCCACAGCGAAGGCTAGAAGTGTGGTCTTTCAGAGCCTTTACAAAACACTCATTGCATGGGTAAATACTGCAAGCATACTTCCATGATACCCATTAATAATATTTTTGGGGTAGTAGGCCGGCATTCGCTATGTGGTTTTTCGTCATCCTTTTGAGGAGCGTGGTATCCGCTAAAGACTTGCAAGGAATTTTGTGCCTATTGTTGATGCAGTGGCTGACGACGATGAGGACCGAAACATAGCTGAAGTGGGTACGTGCTACAGTTAATAGGGGAATAAGAAGAAGCTTGTGTAATGGTTTGGAGCATTGGACGCAAACTCGTTATGCTATTCGTATTGTGGGATGACTGGTTGTGCTTTCGCTGTTTTAAAAGACTTCATAGGTCGTATTCACGCGATTGCTCTCCCGACATCAAGCCTGTCTAATGCAAGTTTGCCTACAAGTGACAAGCACCGGCATATCTCAGTGGTAGAATATCGGGCTGGCACCCAGCGGACCCGGCTTCATTTTCTACTGTGTCAAATATCGCGCGATGTGGTTACGGACACCGGTGGCGGCGGCAAACAACTGCGCGTGACCCGAGTTGTAATCTCATAACAGCTTCTGCTGTAAACCTTGTGCCACCCAATGGAAGCTTCGTAACGTGGCGGCTTCTTCGAATTTTGTCACACAGCACAAAGGACTGAGCCGTAACACTATCTTCAAATACACGAGCGCCCAAGCACTGATGGGACATGTGTATGCCACAACAGCAATCGCCAAGAGAACGTGGGCCTCAGGCTTTAGCTTTCCAGTTTGTGCCAGGTAGAGACTTTTAGACGCAGTGAATGTGAAAATGTGCAACATGTCACTGTGTGTTTCAATCACGAAGCTCATTGTTTAGCTGCGACGGCATCATAACCACTGCTCTCAGGTCTCGATCCTGCTCCAGCGGAGCTGCTCAGAAACGTTACCTTTTTTTGTGTGGGTGCTGGTGCATGCCTACTTATTACTTAATACTACTTGGTTGCCTGTGAAGTGCAAAAGTGGAGTGTGATTCGCTGATAAACTTGGAATCGACATTTATTTATACTGCATAAACGAGCGCTATGTCAAGTCTCGACAATTAAAGAGCGCACTAGAAAGTAGAGTTGGAATTTTCTGCAGTAAGATACATTTCCTGTATTACGTGTGCGTCATTCACGCCGTATATGTAACGAACGACTATAGCGCCTATAGTGCGTATTAACTTTCGTTGGGGCTAATA